AAATGTCAGACTTCAGAGCTGAAAGGGACCTTCGAGGTCATCAGCTCTGAGCCTCGTGGTTTTATGGACGAGGAAATCTGAGGCCGGGTAACACCAGGTGACCTCTCCCAGGTCACGAATCAGCCAGGGGTGCAAGTGGCTTTCCTGATAGCAGGCGGATGCAGCTCCTTCCAGGAGCAGCAGGCAGATAGTGGTGGTGGGTACATCCCAGGCCCCACCAAGGAGCAGTTCAAAGCAGTCTCAGCCATGAGTTAATTAACCCTCACAGCACCTCTCCAAAGGAGATAATTATTATTCATATCCCCTCCATAGGTGGTTAAACCAAGGCCCACAGGGGTTGAACGAGAGTATTAAATGCCAAATGGAGAAGTTACTCCATATTGGAGCACAATCTAACCTGCCTCTTAATTAGTTGGGGCTATTAGTCTGCAGCTAATTTCAAGGACTCCATTTTTATTTTCTTCTAGAAACTACATGCAACTCTCTAGAAAAAGAAAGCCCCAAAAGAACGGAGAGCTCAAACTCTCCCTCTAGCCTGACCACAGTGGGCAGAGCCTGCTAGGCACAGTGGGGTGGACCGTGCTGCAATCCAAAGGCTCAGCGGTCTTTTACAGCCTGTCAGCCCACCTCCTAGATTATGGGTGGTATCCATTTACGGGGCAGGAGAATGGAGAAGGGGGTGCACGGGATTAGCGTTTCTTCTAAACCTCAGGGGCCACTTTTGTGATTTTCAGGAGATCCAGAAGCAACACTGAATAGATTCATGTTATCTGAACAGGACGAGACCACCAGGGCACGTGGAAGGATTATTTTGCCAGAAATCTGAAATCTCTAGGTTTAGCTACCCACACCCTCGGAATGCTTGCCTCCCTCAGAGTGTCTGGGGTTAAATTCACCCCAAGTAGAGTCTGGGGCCCACCACCTGTCTGTCACTGTGTCATATTGTGGTGGCTTGCGTGTTGCTATGATGCTGGATGTTATGTCACCAGTGTTTCAAATACCAGCAGGGTCACCCATGGTGGACAGGTTTCAGCAGAGCTTTCAGGCTAAAACAGACTAGGCAATCTACTTCCAAAAATTAGCCTATGAAAACCCTATGGATCACAACAGAATATTGTCTGATATAGTGCTGGAAGATGAGCCTCCTAAGTTGGAAGGCATTCAGAATGCGCAGAGGCCGCAACAATGAGCTCGAGCATACCAGCAGTCGTGAAGATGGTGCAGGACCAGGCAAGGTTTTGTTCTGTTGTTCATGGGCTCGCCCAGAGCTGACTGAATAGCAGCTCATGACAACAACCACAACAGCGGGGTGAACGAAGCGGGATGCTGCATCGGGGGCTCTTCTGCTGGTCGTGGTGGTTTTCACTATTTCTTTAAATCAATTTGCCACCAGCCTGATACCTGCTAGGTCAGACCAGCACTAAAGCCCTGGGCACCCTCGCTGGGTGTGGACTGCCGAGTCCCGCCGGCAGTGTTGTGTTGTGGGGCCTGGCTTTGAGCAGGTTGGTGTCTGATGCTGGCATAGTGGAGTCTTGAGCCTGGCAGTGTGGACCTCATCAGGCCTGTGGCCGAGGGCAGGGCACTCCACTGAAGGTAAAAGGAGTATTCCCAGTCGCGCTGTATAGTTGGCCCTGTTCTCAGTGCTTCGAACCCATAACTGGCTCTGGTGCAAGCTGTTTGTGATTAGCTGCTAACTGAAAGGTTGGTGGTTTGAATCCTCAAACAGCCCCTAGAGGGTAAACCAGTTGCTATCAAGTTGGCCCCAACTCCTGACAACTGCATATGTAGAACCAAGCTCCATCGAGTTTTCAGTGGTTGATTTTTCAGGAGTAGATCGCCAGGCGTTTCTTTTGAGGTGCCTCTGGTTGTACTCAAACCACGAACCTTTTGGTTAGCAGCCAAGTAAGTTTACTGTTTATACCACTCAGAGGGTAGAGACCATTATTATCCTCATTTAATAAATGAGCAAACTGAGGCCCAGAGAGGTTACGTCACTTACTTAAGGCCACACAGCTAGGAAATGGGGGAGCTGGGATTCAGACTCAGGCAGCTGGCTCCAGGGCCATTCTGCCATGTATCCCTCTCACCTGGGTGCCCCGGCCCTCCTCTTTGCTCTTCTGAGCTTCGGTTTCCTGTGAGAGTTAAGAGGCGGCTGGGGGAGGTGGCACTAGACCATCTCCATGCTCCTAGGCCATTAAGCGTGAGTCTGCTCCACTGGCAGCCACTCTGCCACCCTCAGAAGCGAGTCATTCTGCTTTCAAGATGCCCCCGGCCCAGGAGAAGGCCCCGAGGGTCAGGGGCTGAGAGAACCGAGAATCTGCCGGACAGGGTTGAGCTTTAGCTGTCTCTGCGTATAATCACAGCGTGTGGCGCGGGGACAAAGAACATGACAGCAGAGAGATCAGACAGTGAGAGGTGGGAGGGGGGGCTGGCGAGGGCGGAGGGGAAGGAGGCTTCCCAGCAGGGCCAGGCTGAGTGCTGCTTCCATCCACTGCCTAGCTCAGGAGGGGGCCAGGTGAGACGCTCCGCCTGGCGCCCTGCCTCTGCCTCCTGCCCGAGACACCTGATCTTCAGGCAGCACAGCCTCCCCAGGCCCCCAGGACTCTGCTATCAGAGCACAAAGGGCTGGTTTTTCATGTCCACCAGTTAAGGGATTTGCTGGGTTGACGATTCTCGGGAACTCAGCACAGATGTCATGTTGAAGCCAGCAAGGGGCTGCGAGAATCTGCTAACTGGATATTAAACGCCTGGCTGCTGGGAGAGTTGTGGTCCACAGCAGGTGGTGATGATCCAGGCTGGGTAGGAGCGGAGCCCGTGTGATGATGAAGGAAAGGTGGGCTGGCACCAGGTGAGGATGGTCCACACAGTGTACCCTGTAAACAGAAGCAACACGCGCAGCTTCTGCAGACCTACCTGCAGGCGGGAGACCACCATTGCTAAGATTTCAGCTCGGTGGTATTTTGGCTCTTATTTTGCATTAAAGTAGATATATAAGAACAGAATGAGTCCTAGTGGCACAATGGTTAAGTGCTCACCCACTAACCAAAAGATCGTCAGTTCAAACCCACCAGCAACTCCATGGGAGAAAAGACCTGTTGATTTGCTCCTGTAAAGATTACAGCCTTGGAGACTCGATGAGGACAGTTCTACTCTGTCACATGGGGTCACTAAGAGTCAACTCGATAGCGGCTAACATAAGAACAGATCGGAATTTGAACCATACAATGAATGTGTTGAGGGAATGATGGAAATAGAAAACCACCATTTGCAAACAGCACCATAATCATTGTTTCAGGCAAGAGACATCAATAGATACTGGAATTAGTGGGCAAAAGTATGCTAGAAAGAGGATATTTACGTAGGCTCAGGAAGTTCTCTCTAAACATACTTACTAATGCTGGAGTGAGGAAAACAAAAACCTGTTGCAGTTGAGTCAACCCCAGGTGAGTCAGAATAGAACTGCCTCATAGGGTTTTCTTCCATAATCTTTACAGAAGCAGATCACCAGGTCTTTCTTCCAGGGCACTGCTGGGGGGTTAGAACTGCCAACCTTTCAGGTAATAACCAAGTACAAACTGTTTGCACCACCCAGGAACTTGGAGGGGGGACATAGTCACTGTAATCCTGGCAATGTGGCAGACATCCCCTCAACCATGATCAAGGTCACCACCCCCAGGGATGGTCAACACCAAGTGCCTCCTGATATTGAGGAGGACACAGCCTCACTTCTGGGGTGTTCCTGCCCAAATGGTGTGTGTGGTTAAACTAACCAGACAAGACCAGTTGCCACTGAGGCAACTCTGACTCACGGTGACTCCATGTGTTTCAGAGTAGAACTGTGCTCCACAGAATTTTCAGTGGCCCTGACCTTTCGGAAGTAGATCACCAGGCCTTTCATCCAAGGTGCCTCTGGGTGGGAGCGTGTGCTTATTGACATGGCTGACTCTGAATTGCCTGGGGGCTTTGGACCCTCACTACTCAAACTGTGATCTGCAAACAGCAGCAGCAGCGGCTCCTGGGGAGTAGGTTAGAAATGCAGAGTCTCAGGCCCTGCCCCAGCCCTAGCATCCCAGCCTGCTCTTTAACAAGCCCTCCAGGTGATCCGTACGCACAATAAAGGACGAGAACACCTCTCTGGAAGATTCTAAAGCACCTTCCAGCTCTGAGAGTGTATGGTTTTGCTCCAGTTAGTTTCAGCATCACAAGGAACCATGCAGGAAAACAAAACGAAACGACTGGACCCTGGCAGAGGCACGGAAGCAAATGGGGGATTTGGGGCTGTTTGGGGGAGGCTGGTCTCAGAGATGGGGTGGTTTGCAGACAAGGATCCAGGTACTGGTATCTGTCCTGACAACCTGCAGACTGTCCTTCCCTCCTCCCCCGCTCATGGTCACCTCCCTCTGCCTCCTGCATTTACAACTGGGGCCCATGTGTGCATCTTCCCACCAAGAGGAGGTCAGCAGGCCTTGCCACAAAAAACAAGCAGAAGCAAAGCGCAACTGCTCTGCGCTTGTTAGCGGTAGAGCACAGTGGCCACTTGATATTTTCCAGAGGATGGTTCAGGCGGGTCAGCCCACGTGCTGGCACTGTACTCAGAATCCTTGCCAAGTGAATCATTCAAGACAGGAACATTTATTAGAGAGACTGTGTGACAGCGTGGCTCCGGAACATAAAAAGGGGTATCTGTAGCTGCATGCCCGACTGATATGCCGTCTCCCCCAAAATTGCTGCCCTCACGCTGTATTGGGGACCTGGCATGCCGAGTATCCGTTCAGAAGTGGTGTTCCCAAATTTCCGTCCTCCCATCAGGAGATTTCCATCTTAACAATAGATGATTGTGATGGGCTTGGCCAGAAGGCTGGGTCCTGTTGTAATAAATTAAGACCAGGCACGTCTGAGCTATAATAATCATCATGAGGACTTCTCGGGCTCGCCAAAAATTATTTGGCGCAGCGGCTTACACATCTATTAGTCCAGTTGCCGAATAGCTTCAGATTGGATTTTTTTTTTTTTTTGGAAAGATGAAAGATTTGGGGGCTATTTGAACATCTGTTCCAGTATCACTTGGAAAGTTTAAAGTCAGGCGAGTTTGTACTCTCAGCCAGAGGGGGATGTTTTATTCCCAGTGTAGGGAGTTAAAGAAAAAACTCAAGACGACGCATGGGTTGCTTGTCCTTGTCCTGTAGCGTGGTGGGGCTCAGGGCTGTGGCACAGCAGGAAGTAGCTTCTCTCAGAGGGAAATGCTTGCAAAATGTGCTTCCACCCTGGAACATGCCCGGAGCCATTAGAGGGGCAGCCACTCTGCCTGCCCTGGAATGCCGCCCTCCTCACCCTGGCCTGTTGGGCTCTTGGCTCTCTGGTGCCTCTGGCCTCCCTGCCATGTCTTGGGGGACGCCGACCGAGCTGGCGGTAGCAGATGAGTCTTCTGCAGTGTCACTGAGAATGCTGGCTCATACGAGGGACCAGCTGGAGGCAAGCGCTGGGGTCTGTTTGAGACAGATGGCTCTGTCAGATATGGGCTCCGGGAAACTGTGCAAGACATGTGATGCTTGGCAGGGCTAAGAGGCCCATGCTCCCAGGGTGGCCTCAGGGCTGGCTTGGAGGGGCCCAGAGCGAGCGGTGGGGGTTCACTGCCCGCCCACCCCCTGCGCCCCCACCCCATGTTTTATAGGGCCTCTTGGAGGGCCTCGAAGCTAACTGACCACTCACACGCACCCTTACAAAGCCCCACAAGGCCCTCTGTAACCTGCCCACCCCTCTGACCTCAGGGCCTCCCCCTCCCTCCCTTTGTTCTCACCCAGCTGGTCTTCTTGCTGTTCTTGGAACACAGAGCTGTATTCCTCCCCCAGGGCCTTTGCACTTGCTTTTCCTCCTGATATCTACAGGGCTCACTCCCTCACTTCCTTTGGCTCTTTCCTCAGTTGTGACTTTCTCTGTGAGGCCTCTCCCGACCACCCAGCCCCCAGTGCGTAGCCCACACCCCAAGCTTTATTTTCCTCTTTTGCACTTGTTGCTCAGTATTCTGTTCTGCTTGTTTATCTTTTTGGTTGTCTGTCTCCCCACACCCCACTGAAACCTGTTAAGCCCTGTTCCCGCAGGACTTTGGTCTCTTTCGTTCGGAGTTACATCCCAAGGAGCCTGGAACAGTGCCTGGTACATAAAACCCATTGCTATGGAGTTGATTCTGACTCATAGTGACCCCATGTGTTACAGAATAGAGCTACTCCATAGGGTTTTCTTGGCTGTTGTCTTAGGCTGGGTTCTCTAGAGAAACACACCCAGTAAAGTGTATAAATATATATATACAGAGAGATTATATCAAGGAAACAACTCACGCGATTGTAGAGGCTAGAATGTCCCAAGTGCGTGGATCAGGGTAGAGGCCTCTCCCAAGTCACACAGCTGCAGAAGCTGGCAAGCCCTAGATTAGCAGGTCGGAGAGCAGAGCTCCCGCTCACAGGCTGTGCAGATCGACGAATCCCAGGTTCAGCAGATAAGCTGACAGCTCAAGTCCCAAGAACGGGAGATCAGCCGCAGGATCCAGAGAGAGCAAAAAGCCAGAACGTCTGCATACATTCAGATACGGGGCACACCCGCAAGGAGACTCCCTTTCATCTGATTGGCTACTCACAGTATATTCAGTCAGGGGCGTGATTACATTAAAACACTGAGAATCACGGTCCAGCCAAGTTGACACACAATCTTAACCATCACAGTCCACCCCTTGTCAACTTGGCACATGTACACATCTCCTTAAACCATACATAATCTCTGAATAAAGACAATTAGAAAGTCATACTCGCACCTAACATGATATAACTAACACGTGTACAATCGAAAACACACTAGCCCTGTTTACAGCTTATATTTTATAAGTGAAGGAAATAAAAATATTTGATGCACACATACAAAGTAAAAATACTCGCAACAATTACAGTCCCCATTTCTGCAACTGGTCACATGGCCGTAACTGGTATTTAGATCTACTGACTTCCACCACCCATTCTGTATTCCCTTTGCCCTCAGCAAGCACCTCGGCTGGTCGTGGTTCTTTGCCTGGTGGGGTGACCCAGACCTTCATTCCTGAAGGGTCTGTGTCATTAGTAGTCATGTCAGAATTAGGTTGCTGTAGCTTTCCACTAACTTTAATCACAGGGCATATGGTAGTACTAAGAGATGCCCCAAGGAGTCTCCTGCATCCCAGACATACTCTTCTTTATCTCCATTATGTAATATAAATCTGATTTCCTCTTGGTAATCAGGATCAATCACACCAGCCAGTATGGTAACTCCCTTGTTTGCCTGTTGATCCAGAGGCATAAGGAGCCCAAAGTGGCCAGGTGGCACTCTTAACTTCCAATTCAATGGAATCAGTGATGTGTCTACAGGTGGGAGCATTCCTCCCTTTGGAACTAAGACCTCTAGGCCTGCAGAGCATAAGGTCGAGGGGTCAGGAAGCAAAAATCTTGCAAGTGGGTCACTGGGGTAATAGTGAGTTGTGCCACTCCCATTTCCATCCCTTGATTCCTGGCTATGGGAGAAACAGCACCATATATTGGACGCTGGTTTAAAGCATATACAGCCTCCTGGAGAACGTTGCCCCAACCCTGCAAGGTATTGCCACCTAGCTGGTGCCATAATTGTGTCTTTAGAAGGCCATTCCATTGTTCTGTCAAGCCAGCTGTGTCAAGATGATGTGTAACATGGTAAGGCCAGTGAATTCCACGAGCACGGGCCCACTGCTGCACTTCATTTGCTGTGAAGTGAGTCCCTTGATCTGAGGCAATGCTGTGTGGGATACCATGATGGTGGATAAGGCATTCTGTAAGTCCATGGATGGTAGTTTTGGCAGAAGCATTGCGTGCAGGCAAATCCATATCCAGAGTAAGTGTCTATTCCAGTAAGGACAAAACGCTGCCCTTTCCATGACGGAAGTGGTCCAATGTAATCAACTTGCCACCAGGTTGCTGGCTGATCACCTCGAGGGATGGTGCCGTATCAGGGACTCAGTGTTGGTCTCTGCTGCTGGCAGATTAGGCACTCAGCAGAGGCTGTGGCCATGTCAGCCTTGGTAAATGGAAATCCATGCTGCTGGGCCCATACATAACCTCCATCCCTGCCACCATGGCCACTTTGTTCATGAGCCCATTGAGCAATGATGGGAGTAGCTGGGGAAAGAGGATGACTGGTTTGCACAAAACGCGTCATCCTATCCACTTGATTATTAAAATCCTCCTTTGCTGAGGTCACCCTTTGGTGAGCATTCACATGCGACACAAATATTTTCACTTCTTTAGCCCATTCGGAGAAGTCTATCCACATACCTCTTCCCCATAAATCCTCGTCTCCAATTTTCTAATCATGTTCCTTCCAAGTCCCTGACCATCCAGCCAAACCATTGGCCACAGCCCATGAATCAGTATATAATCGCACATCTGGCCATTTCTCCTTCCAAGCAAAGTGAACAACCAGGTGCACTGCACGAAGTTCTGCCCATTGAGAGGATTTCCCTTCACCACTGCCCTTCAGGGAGGTCCCAGAAAGGGGCTGTAGTACTGCCGCAGTCCACTTTCGAGTGGCCCCTGCATATTGCACAGAACCATCTGTAAACCAGGCACGAGTTTTCTTTTCCTCAGTCATCTGATCATAAGGAACTCCTCATGAGGCCATAGGTGCAGACTGGGAGATGGAAGGTAATGTGACAGGAGTGGAGACAATGGGCATTTGGGCCATTTCCTCATGCAACTTAACTTGTGCATTTGGGTCCTGCTCAGGCCCGATCTCGAATATACCACTTCCATTTAATGATGGAGTGCTGCTGTGCACATCCAACTTTATGGTTCTGTGGG